TTTTTATTATAAAATGAATAGTTTAGTAATCTATCTTCAATTGATGAATTACCTTCCTCTAGTTATGAGTATTTATGATTAATATCGATGCTAATTATATTATGTTACAATGGTTTTAGCAAAAAAAAATATATATATATATCAATATCATCATCAATATTTTCATCGCATTAATATCCGAAGGATATAAGATGGAAAAGGACAATCTGATCTACTCGCCATAGAATTCAATCATATTTCTCAGCCTTGATCATTCATCAAACTGATTGTCTTATTTTCCTAATATGTCAAGATGGTTTCCATCAATTGAGTTATAATCTTTGCCGATATTAGAGTTTCGTTTTTATAGTTTATCAGCTCTCTATGTCATGTGTTTTTTATCAGACAAGAAATACTACAAATGATGTGCTTCGATTTTGCTCATAGTTAATCATACATTACACGACAAAAAAGAAAAATAACGATATATTAAGATTAAAAATCTTTTCGACCGTGAAGTGGCATTTTTCACAATGTGTCTTTACGTTGAAAAAGAAACATGAAATGTGAAGTACATCATTTTTAGTCTGACAGAATAAATATATGACATAGAGGAATGAAAAACGAGATCACATAATGACGAAAATCAAAAGTCAGTCGATGAAAATCATCTTGGCATATTAGAACAATACGACGATAGGTTATGTGTATGTCACTGTATAGTCTGACACTTCTTCAAGGTTATGTTTTCTATTGATTAGCTAGATATTGAAAATAAACGAAACATTTATTATCACAATTGTTCAATAAAATTTTAATTTTATGTGTTTCATTGTTTTTTTTTTATTTGAGAAGTTCGTTAAGTTTTTAACGCTATATCATCTATCCTTTCTTACAGATATCAATTTGCGTGTCAGAGTTTTAGTTTGATCAAAATCTATTATGAAAATTTGGATTTATAATATCATTCAAGAAATTCTAATAGCCATAAAATAGTCATAATTTATCATTTGTATTTTATTGTTGTTTGAAAATCATAATTAGTTTTTTAATTCTTTCGAATAGATTCAATTTAATCTTTCTCTAGACTTTACATGAGTAAATATATATTTTCTAACCTTTAATTTCTTTTGTAAATTTTACTCGTTGTGCATCATTTAATGGTCGTCGTTGTTCTTGTATATCACGTATATCTAATACTTCACACATAAAATCAATTACTGGTTGTGATTTATAAAAAGCAGTAGCACTAACTAAATACAAACAAAAAAAAAATTTTTTTTTAATATATTTATAATTCATGGAAATAATTAATTCTTTACCATCAATATTTAATGACATTCGCCAATAAGATGGTCGAACTGATTGATGAAAACCAAACCATACTTCACGACCACCACCCAATGGATTATATTGAATATCAGGTGGTGAAAAAAATGAACGTCCAACCGGTGTATATCTAAATGAAAACTGATTAGTAGAAAATTTATTATATTAGAAAAATCAACAAGTCAATATAAAAGCTCAATATTTCTAACCTGTAAGCTCTATATATATAATAAAATAAAACTGATATTTTACGTTCGAAGAATCTTTTTATTAAAACAGATACTTACTTCATACTTGGTAAATGCCTCATAATAACATCAAGTGCTGAAACAGCTTCATTAGGTACCGGTGGTCCACGTCCTTGTAAAGCTTCTTGTAAACTAACTAAACTAACTTGTGCAACCCATTTTATTTGTACTTTAAAACAACGATCACGTCCTTCACCGGGACCAGGTAAAGTTACTTCAAGTTCAATACGTTCTCGACCAAATGGTAGTGGATCTTTTGTATATAAATTTCTTTTTCCATCGAATGCTGGATGTTGAGAATTAAATATATTTTGAAATTTATTAACCATCGTATCAATTATTTCACGATTAACACGTTTTGGACATTTATCTGGTTGTATATTAAGATCATAATGTTGAATAAGTATTGGCGGTATACGAATAGCAAAATGATTTGCACGTAATTTTATTGAACGACCTTCACGACCAAAATCTGGTCGTGGTGGAGGAGATAAATCGAGTGGAGGATTAAGCATTGTCATTATACCAGTTCCAGGTGGTGTCGATGGCATTGATGCCATATGAGGTGGAAGACCAATAGGATTTGCTGATGAAGAACCTGACGAACTTGCACTCGTATTAATAACATTCGTTGGTTGTTGCTGTTGTTGTTGATTATTTCCGTTACCATTTCCACTACCTTGTACAGATGAAGAAGGTGGTTGACCGATAGGTGGAAGGAACATTTCAGATAAAGAAATAACAATGTCTACGTGTTTTTTTCTTGTCAATGAGTGCACCGCTAGCAATAAAAATTAATCCTTTTTGGGGCTCTCATTCGACGAATTATACTAAAATAAATTTCAAAAAAAAAATCTAGATATATAAATAAACAAAATAAAACAGAACATATTAATAAGATGAATGTAGTAATCATATTTAGACAAAATATACGATACAATGGTCTCGGCCATTAAGGATTATCTATTCTCTATACATGCAATCTTTATTTGTGTTTAATTAAATTTAATAGAGATAAGATTTAAAAAAATTTGAGGAAAAAATTTGAATATATATAAAATTCAATAAAAAAACAATAAATAACATTAAATAACATTTCAGATTTTTAAAGATGTCGCTAATGTTTCAACATTGGATAGTGGCTAGTATAATGATCTGTGAACATATCATTAATTTTCCTTCATTGCTTTCGATGGTAAGGAAAGACAACTTGGGTGTATTAAATAAGACGAGTGTTTTGTATTGAAACTTAATAAGATTGAATTTATTTACGTTAAATTAACGCTCTTACTACCTAACCAACAAGTTTACAATAAGAGTCACTTATGACTTGTCTGTACCAAAATCATCGAATTTCGAGGTATTTATAGTATCAGTAGTAATGCTAGAAGATTATTTACATTCAGTTATTTCTTGTATTGCGAATTGATTCTTCAGATAGTAAATGTTTCAAATCTTATTTAAATTTTCTACAACAGTATTCATGTCGCACTACCACCGGTATACTGGCAGTAGACTTCTGATCCAAGAAGGACTATGTGTAAACCGTGATAGAATGCTGATTAAAGAATGAGCGACCATTTAAGTATCAAACTGCCGTCGATTGATCATTGGTGTAGCGCACATTAGGACAAGCAGTCTACGAATGGTTTACTGATGATTTTTGCCCAGGTGATTAGTGTTACATTGGTTTTGATGTCTTGTCAAAATTTGACAGTCTTCAAATAAAAATAGATTGCTTTTTCTCATTTGAATTGATATATATTCAATTATTGCGATTTTATCTAAACTAAAAGTTTTACAGTATGTAGTACGAGAGATCTATAATTCATTATGAATAGAGGTTAAAATCTTTAATTAAAGAACAGTAATAAAGATGTTTTTTTTTTGCATTAAGAGCAAATTAGAAATGTTCGCTTTGCATAATTGACAAATGTACATTAATTGTCAAAAGATTCGAACTAAATAGTCTTAGATGTTTCGCTACTTGTTTTAACCGCTATGAACTCGTGTTGAATTTGTTTTACAATGTTAAAGCAAAGAATTGAATTGCAAATAGTATATTAGAAATTTGTCAGCATTTGGTTAACATTCATGTTCATTTCTGTTCAGATGATATTTGTATTTTACTTATTTTCTAATAAATTCCGATTGACAAAACAGGAATAGATTTAGTAGTCCTTGAGAATGAATTAATAAACAATCCTCTTGATCTTAGGAGTATTACTCGAAGTCAATTTACGTCACTCTGAGTTCTATCAGAATCAATAAAAAAAAAGAAATTATCAATGGAGTAACAGACATAAAATTTAAATTGAGAAGACGAAGTCATTTTTCTTGCTACTTTTTTCAAGCATAGAAACTCCTACAACGACATTTATTGAGTAGGATCAACCTTTTTTTTACATTCTTTTGTCGAATTGACCTTATTCTTTTTTGAGAAAATTAACTTTAACGCAAAAAAAAGCATAACGTTAATCTATTTCCACTGGAAGACTACCATACTCTGACAAGACAGCAAAACTATTATGACCATACTATTATAGAAAGTTTAAATAAGATTTGAAATACTTCCTATCTGAAGAAGCAATTTACAACACAAGAAATAACTGAATATAATTAATCTTCTAACATTGCAACTTATAATTACTATAAATATCTTGAAATTCGAAGATCTAATTTCAGACAAGTCATAAGCAACCCTTATTATAAATTTGTTGGTTAGGTAATAAGAGCGTTATTTCTCTCATGTTCATGTTTTGAACTGTCTCATTCAGTATTGAAGTACACAAAAATTGCTATGAGACGATTGACCTACTACAACTTATAGAATGTATCACATACATTCTTTTTCTAAATGAAGGAAAAACTAACAATGATAATATTGTCAAAGTATGAGTTAGTTTATTTGGAGATAAGTTTTTTGGTTTTGATTTTAAAATCAATGCCTCCAATTGAAGATATTATACCGATATCTCTAATGCATAGCATAGTCGAAACAGTATTTAATAATAATAAAAACAATTTTCTCACCTGCTACAAAGTTTACAATTAATATATGCTAATAGAAACTCTTCTGAGTAGGTATGAGCAAGATGATTCCTATCCAGACCGAATCGGGATCAGGATCAACACTTTCAGTTGTAACAATACCTTTCTCATTGAGCAAACAATTTACAATCATTCTATTTCACCATTTGTTAGATATTTAACGAATTGAATAATTTATAATAAATGCAAGAAAATTAATAACTTTGCTTCAATTGCAATGATTTAACTTAACTGATTTGTATTTAGTGTAAGTTATTCTTAAATAGAACTCGAAGCCGTAAAATGCTGGAATGAAAACATTTTCATAATTATCGTTTATTTCGATAGAACAAAAGAACTTCATTATCTCTCCCATTTTATTCTTTTTCTAACGATAAGGCCAAAAAAAAATGATCAATCTTGTTTTGGTCTAGATACGTTTATAATTGATTTAACATATGATACTGATGAATCCAAAGGATTAATTGTATTATTTATAATATCAGATTTGTTATCTAGTAATTCATTAATGATTGTATTTGTTTCAAACTCATCTTTAATTAAATGATTTGATGTTGATTGAAAATATTGTGTAATTGCTGGATTTACCCATGCAATTGATGGTCGAGGCGCTCTTGTTTGAAAATTAATTGCTTGCGCATGACGATATGATATTGTAGAGATTGGATCAGGAGTTTGTGATGATGATAATGAAGGTTTCATAACAAGATTAATAACAGATAAATGAACATCTTGATCAAATGTTGAAATTGATTTACAATCCGATTTATTCTTTTAAAAGAAAACTAGATATTTTCTATTTTTTTCTTATTTATATAATTTATACTTGTCGTTTATTTTTATATTTTCTACGATTTTTTTGTTTTGGTTCATATGGATCAAATAAATGAATAAGATCATCAGTTAATTCCGTATTCACTGTTGGTCGATCAAGAAAAACTCGTGCCAATTTGTGTTTAGCAATAAATAAATGATTATTAGCAAAATCATTACGACGATATGGTCGATGACCATCATTACTATCTTTAGCTGTAGGTATTGATGGTAAAAATGATTCACTACCATTTGTAATATCAATTAATGATTGTGCATTTCTTAATAATAATGAATGTTGATGTTGTTGACTGTTTAATGGTACACGATATTCAACAGTTGGTTGTTTACGACGGTAACAATAAGCAGCAAAAAATCCTGTGTTCAAATTCATCTATTATTTGTTTCTTCTATTGAATGATTTTATATTTTTTCAAAATTCTATTTCTTCTACCATGTTGAACGTAATGGAACGGAATGTAAAGAGAGAAAAGAATTACAATTAATTGCCTTTGTCAACTAAGAAGTACAACTTTTCTCTTCATCTTTTTCTCTTTATTTATAATATTTATTAATTGAACAGAACAAAAAAAAAAAAGAGAAAAATGATTTATTTTCTTCGTTCTCGTTATTACATGTCTTCAATGTCAGCTCGTAAATAATCAATTAGACGGCTGATTTCAATAATACGTTTACGATTTCGCTTATATTCTTCTTCTTCATGTATATTATCCATCATTGTTGTTAACCAATTTGATATACGTGAAAACATTTCATCTTCACGTTGATCTATTTTCGTTCGATGAACTTCATCGGATGTTTGACATGCATTCATTATTGTATCTTTATCAGTAAAAAGCTATAAAAAATAAAAATATTCTTCTTAATGTAATATTAAATCTACAAACTTCTCGTGTATCATCAGGAAATTCATCTTCTAATTCACCTTTCATAATACGTTCAACAGTCGCTACACATAAATTAATAATGTTCTCATTAAAAAACGCTTGTAATTCACGTAGTTGACTAAAATTTGCACGCATAGATTCCGTAAAATTCGAAACCATTTCAGCTAAATTTCGTTCAAATGTTTGAATTGTTTCCTAAAAGATTATATGTGTACGATTTAAAAAAAGATAATGTAAATAAATAAATATATATATGTATGTTACTTCTAATTGATCAACAAGTGTAATTTCTAAAGCCATTAATTTATTACGAAGATTCGTTAATGCGTCATCATATTCACTTGCAAGTTCTGGTGATACACCTTGTTGTTCAAGATCTTCTTTTGCCTATAAAGATTAAAAAAAAATATACAAAAAAAAATGTTCTAATCAAAATTCTGTAGAATTATAAATAAAACACGATGAAACTGGTTGTAGAAGAATTTGGCCACTTTTCTTCGATTTGCGAGTTACTATCTAGCAACATAATGTACGGGATAACAAAAACACAGTCTAGGGATATTTATTTATAGCGTGCGTGTGTGAAGAAAGGGGATTTATATAAGCTGTTTGGTATAGGAAATCAAGTTTTAAACATTTGCACTTTTCTTAAAGATAGAGCTAATCAGATTAAACTGGTCGATTAATATTTTAATAGTCCAATTCTAATTTTCAATCTTGAATAATTGATCACAACGAGCAGATATGACAAAACGAGGAGCAAAATTCATTATATACATGAAATAGAAAAATGAAGACAAATGAAATAAGGTAATAACTAACCGGCACTGTTGCTATGCTTGCTGCTTTTCTTCATTCCATCATAAACTCAAATATCTATGAATCATAACAAGTTCAATCCTTTTACTATTAGTTTTTCAAGATTGATTAAAAATTGTGTTTCAAAAAATCTCTGTGAAAAATCATCGATTCATTTCAAACATATTACTCATTTTATAAGCATTTCTAAATTAAAGAGTTCTGGTTTTCATTATAATATTGCTGATTATATATTTACAGATGTCTATATACATGCTGGAAGCTTCTTTTTCTTAGAACCAGATGAATAGTATGTCAAGTTTTCCTTACACTCAATACACAGATTTCATAGATAGTTGCTTGTATAATTACTCCGGTGGTCGAGAAAATTAATCCTATATTAAAGAAAAAGTTGCTAAAATCTTTGCATTCATTATCAAAGTGAAACACTTGTTTTTTTTCTATAATTAAGGAAGAAGTCTATGAACTGACTCACAAATAATGTTGATCTGTAAGTTTTAAATTCATCTACGATCGCTGCAGCTTGACGTGTATTTTCATTCTTCGCTTCATTAACACATATCCAAAAATCTTCAATTTCACGATCTCTTATTTCTTTTTCCTAAAACAAAAAAAAAAGGAACAGACAAATCAAAATTTTCTTCTCTTCAACAACGAAAACTTTTACTTTTAAACCAAATTCAAACATTGAATAAACAATAGCATTACATTTTTGTTCAAATTGTGTCATTAATTCATCAGAACCGGGTACAAGAATTAATTTTTGACCTTCAACATCATCTTTAAACATTGCTGTAAATAATTGATTTTGATCCATATTTTCAACAAAAGCATCCTTCAAATAACAAATTCAATAAATAAATGAAAAATATTTAAAAAATTTCTACTTTATGTAATTGATATTGTTTAGCTTGATCTTCACCTGTTTTCTCTTTCTCTCGTTCTTGTTCTTCAAGTGTTATTAATTGTTGTAATTGAATTTCATATTTTTTTGTTGCTTCTTCCCTCTAAAATATATTTTAATAAATTAGAATCGTCTACAAATATAACATACAGGCGCATCATCAATAAGTTTGTAATCAAGAAAATGAACTTGTGGTAAATGAGAGATTGTAAATATATAATAATCCGGTTTAGATGCAAATGGATTACCACGAAGACAAAGAGTTCGAAGATTATCAAATCGACGTAAGTAACGTATCTAAAGGAAAATCAAATATCATTGAGTATTTTATGTAAATCTTTTGTTTGTTCGACAGATCGAATAGAAACATCCAAAAGGATAAAAATACCAATAAGAATTGTAGGTTTGATGGAAAGCATAAAAAAAAGATATCTCTTATATACTATAGAAAATACTGAAAACTAGTACGTGACTTAGATGAGATGTTTAGGCTGTTTTAATCTCATCTTTTGAATATACATAAACTTCAATGAAGTATTAGTACGCTAACAAGTATTTTTTTCTTTAAATCCTGACTTCTCTAGTCGCAATTATTTTACTAGGCTTACGAGACAACAAAGCTCGAACTGCGAATTTATTCAATGATATATTCACAAATTCCTAAAGCATACTTAAGAGGGGCATTGATAATGAATACTTTCTTACTGACAACATACAGAGACTTATTTATACTTCAGAATTACTAATTCAATAATAAATAACCTATTAGAAATGAGTTCGAAAACAGCCATGATCCAGTACTGAAAACAGCTGCTCTTGCTAACTGATATACTTCTTAAAAAGACTCAATTTCTAAGTATTCGTTAAGATGTTTCAGTTACCTACTAGGAAAATATTTGTTTTGATTAGATTTTTTTGTATATTTTGAAAATTTGTAAATCTGTTAAGAAATGGATTCTTATTTGCAACTCGTTTATTTAAATTTATTGGTGTCACGTGCTTCTCTTTATCTCACTGCTTTTCATAATGCTACATTTGACAAACTATTGATTACAAGGTTAGACAAACTGAATACTTTGTTAAGTTTTGAGAAGAACGAATAATTCGAAAACAAAACTGTTCGTTTTGTCCATGAACGTAATCATCTCAACATAAAGCATACTTTATTTATAATCTCGAGTTCAAGTTCTTTTGTCAGCTCCGATTTATTACAGATTAACTATTGTTTTCTTCAATTTGATGTTCGAAATAAAACTACAGGCTGTGTCAAATCAAGAATATTTTCTTACTAACGCTATTTTCGTCGTCGATTTGATTATTTCCAATAGAAAAAACATTAAGTTTTTTAAGCGAATCCATATTTTCAATAATTGTTATTCGATTATTATATAGTGATAAATCAGTTAATTCAGTTAAAGAATCTAGACCTTCAATACGTGTTATATTATTAAATGAAAGATCTAAAATAAATTATTTTTTCAAAAAAAAATATTTTATTGATATAAAAATTTTACCTAACCAAGTTAATTTTTGCAATGTATCAAGTCCTTCAATACGTTCGATTATATTATTATCCATTTGTAGTTTCGTTAAATTACTAAATAGCCAAAGATTTTCCATTCGAAGAATGTCTTTAAAAAGAACGATTGAATAGTTTCTGTTGAAATTTAAGAAATATTTTTACTTCTGAAGTCCAAACGAAGTACATTAACTTCACTAAAATTTAATTTTTCATCTTTTGGAATGACAAGACTTTCTCCATCAGCTCGTGATGACTCAACGGCATGCTGAAGCATACTCATTGAAATAACTTCTGGTTCGATTGCATCGTATAATCGAGCCATTTTTGTAATATCAAACTCGTCGGCTTTTGTCTTAGTGGCAATTGAATCCACGATCAGACTTTCATTTTACAATTTCTTTGAAGTTCGTTTCTAGGAGACAAGAACAATAAATCTTGTTGGTTAAAAATTAGTCTTTTTTTAAACATATGTCTTGCCTTGTAGGAATAAATTATTTTATTAAAGATTCGATTAGAAAAAATTGAACAATTAAATTCTTTTATTATTACTGGCTGAAAGTGACATCTGCCGAGTAAAAAAATTTCTTGAAGAGAACAATTATTTTGAAGAGAAAGGTGAGGCATAACTCGTAGAAGAATCTCTTTTATTTCACGATGACAAAAACCTTGAATAGTAGTGTATTAGTCAAATACTAAATTTTTTAAAATCTTAAAGAAGAAATATCATGATCTTACATACTAATTGCATCAGATTCACCTATACCCAAGATCCTTCATAAGATCTTGGTACAAGATAATGTGACTATCTTGTACTAAATTTACCAAGGTCTACTCACTTTTCTAAACCTTGTATCTTGGCCAAGATCTTCTTTCCAAGATCCAAGATCTTGCTTACAAGATGTTTCACTAGGATGAAGGATGAAACTGACGTATTCTTTTCTATAAAGCTTTATAAAGAAGTTTAGATGATAAAACTGGGTGCACAACGTAAATCCTTTGTATTGAAAATACGTTAAAGATTCAAGGTAATCATCATTTGCTTTATTCCTACAGAAATCCGATTCACTTATGATTACAATATAGAAATTTATTTTTCTTTTCTTCATCAAAACTCTCCAAAACACAAGTACCAAGTGCATCTATGAACACTTCTGCTTGTACTTTTTACTTGAAAAAGTATCAAAAGTAAAACTACAAATATTTTTATCCCGTCTCTGTTTACGATGTTCTTCATAGTTTAGCTTTTTTCTCAGAGAAAAAAATAGAAAGAACTTAAGAGACATTTCAAAGTGTTTTGTGGCATCTGCTCAAAAAGTGCCGCTTCTAATCAAATTATTGCGAATGAAAAAGTCTGGTAATAAAGAAGATGATCTTTAATTCTTGCAATGTGATTCTCTTCTGGAAAAGAATGTATCTAGGAATGTTGAATTTATGGTCACCTTCATTCGATTCATCTACTTACTGTGTCAATTTCAGAGTTGTCTAGCAAGATCTTCTGGAGAAGTATATCTCTTACAGTACATACATTCATAGTTGGAAGGCGCTTGTCTAACATACCACGCAAAATTATAGATCAAAATTGGTACCTTGATCAAATTAGAGCAAGTGTTTTCTTTGATAATGTAACGATAGAAAAATGATGTCTTTTTTTCATTGATTCTAGTTGAATCGTATTTATCACAGTATAGAATAAATATTTGCGATTAAATACAAAGAAGAGATGATAAAAGAATTGAATTGAGTGTCTAGAGAATCTTCCTCAATATGTAATGATTGTGATCTATCACAGTAGAGAAAAAATTGACAATAGGAATTCTTTATGCACCTTTTACAAAGAAACTAAGTAAATTCGTCCAATAATCAAAATCAGTCAACGAATGAATATATCACTAGTCGACGATCTTGACATCGTTCTTTCCAGATTCTTGTTTTTCTTGGTTATCAGGCAAGATTCTTTTGCCATTCCTTCTACACAAGGTTCTTGCCTGAAAAAAACAGATCTTGACCTTCTGATAAGATTCATGTAGACCGAATCTTGTATTCTGACTGATTCTTTTTTCCCTGACTTCTTGTCTGATTCTTTTTTCTTGGAATTCTTACATGATTCTTGTTTTCTTGAATTCGTGCCTGAATCTTATCCTTGAGATTCCTCATTGATTCTTGTGGTACAAATACGGTGTTTTTACATTAATATGCTTCTTTTCTTTCGTTACTATAATATTTTAATTATCAGGTTCAAATAAATGCACAAAAACGTAAACAACAAGTAATAAAAAAATATACATCAATTTCACATAGAGAGCAAAAAGTTAGACAAAAATAAAAGAAAAAATGAGCACCAAAAAGCTATATTTCAAATTTCGTTGTCGTTATCATCATCTTCATCGTTATTCGATGATGATAATCGTTGAACTGTTGTTGAAGTTCCTTGTTTTGATAAAGTAATGGATGATATAATCGAGAATTTTCTCTTCTTGACGTCCTGCTTCATTTGTTGTAAAGAGTTCTTGATTGATTGACTGTCTACAAGGGCAGATGCAACAGTCAATTGATGAATTCGAGCAAGAAAATCTGAAAATATAGATTTGAAAAACTGAAATGATCATTAAATTTTTCATTCACCTTACACAAAAGAAGATCAAATTCTCTTGGAGCCAAATCGTTGAATGATACCTTTTCACCGCATGCAGCACGAACTAAAGATCTAGCTGTTGCATTTAACGAAGGACCACGTGAGATATGATCTAAATTGATTCCATTTAATTCCTAAAAAAAAGAATATTATAGACACAAATTGCTACTACCTAAAACAGGAATAATATTGCAGAAAAAACCATTACTTAAATCTTCTTCATCGATGCCCATCAGAAAAAAATTTCGAAAAAAGAAAAAATAGATGTTCATGCCAGATAGAATTCTTTGAAAAAAGTCAGTGTTATTTGTAGTATATGTTACAGTCCTGTCTCTATACCTAATAGAAAAAAGATAATCGATAGATGTCTTTTCAATACGATCGATTATCTTGAACAGTTCCTTACCTCGCGCTTACATAATTATGAATGAATAAAAATAACGATTACACGTCTATATATATAAGTATTTAAATAAAGAGATCACGTGCTATTGGTCTTGAAGATCAGATACGAATCTTGTAAAAGGAAAAAAAGGAAGCTTGTCTAAACTTCAAGAAATTTTAAGAGAGGTTTCGGGAGAATATCGAGCATCGATCCAGAGGGCTGGAGAATGATTTTAAAAAAAGTTACTTGTTTTTATCCTATTCGATTCCTTGAAGAAAAGTAAGGTTATGAAAATATTTTTAGACTTTCAGGACTTTTCTTAATGGAGTTATAGGCTTAGGAACAAGATGGGGCTGAAAAAAATCTCAAGAAACACATGCTTTTCGTTGTTTTCCAGTATTACGATTATAACAGCGTCATTTTTCATCCTCTTTATTCTGCGTGACGTCTCATTCGAAAGAGCTTATCAAAATGAACAAAAAAGTCTCTTATGAAATTTCCAAAAAGTGAAAACTTCATAGGAAAAAAATTGCATCTTTCAAAGCACTCAGGTTGGTCGGAATCAAATTTTTTTCAGTACAAACCATTTTTCGAGGTTACAGAAGTCGAATAGGAAAATCTAGTATAGTGCATCTTGTAGAGAATTTTGCGCTCTACAAAATCCATATAAACAATGTGAGAAAAAACATCGTGTCATTTCGTAATTTTCAAGACAAAGAAGAGAAGACCACCTCTTTTTCTATGTAAAGTTATAGGACAAGCCAAAACCCTCGATTATTTAACGATTAACTAACCATTTTCAAGCAAAACCCATATTATATTCGGAATCAACATCAAAAACTGAATCAGACAACATACGTTTCGTTAAAAAAATATTTTTGACAAAATTCACCCGTACTCCCCTCGGCTCATTCTTGAAAAGATTTTACCGGAAGTTCCCCTCGTGCGAAATTTCCTCAAAAAAATATTTTTAACGAAACGTATGTTGCATCGAGCTCTATCAAACAATGTCAAAGTATTGCAGGAAAAACTTTTCTCGATTT